AGGAACCTGATTTCATCTTTTCTTGAGGAGTTTGGGACTCATTCAGGCTCTCAGCCCATAAAAGCGATGCCCACAGCAACTGAGGAAGACACTATCTTCTAATCTACACTGAAACCACCCTGGGCTCCTAGGCTTCCGCTGTTCTCCCATCTGCTTGGCTGCACTACACTGGTTCCTTCTAAGCCTTGCCATGCGCCACCCCCGTGGCTATGTTGGAAGGAAGTGCCAAATCTCCTGTGGAATGAAAGGCTTTTCCCTCCAAGAGCCACTATGTCGGGGCGGGGAGCGGTACTGAAACATGTTTTCAGGTAAAAGGTCGTTTGAATGCATGGTTAACGTTGACAGAAGATACCAAACCAGGCTTTTATTTTGCTTTTCATTTTACACACCACGTATTTCATCAAGTGAAAAAAAAATTCTTTTCCAAAAAGATTTGCATTACAGTACGTTTAAAACCTTTCACCTTTTGAGGTAAGTAATAAATAAAAGTTATGTGCACCCTAGAAGCTGCCTGCCTCGGACGCGTGACGATCCTTCGTGCCTCATGATCTACTTTATAGCTTTAAACTGGACCACGAGTTGAACTCCCCAAATTCCTCAAAAAATGTCCAGGACCCTTTCTGCTTGTTGAGTAGAGAAAGAGCACTTAAATATAAACAGCTGCTCCTGATTTTTAAAGATCAATCACACATTTATTTATTTTTGAGACAGAGTCTCACTCTGTTGCCCAGGCTGCCGTGCAGTGGTGCAATCTTGGCTCACTGCAGCCTCTGCTTCCTGGGCTCAAGCGATTCTCCTGCCTCAGCCTCCCAAGTAGCTAGGATTACAGGCGCCCGCCACCACACCTGGCTAATTTTTGTATTTTTAGTAGAGATGGATGGGGTTTCACCACATTAGCCAGGCTGCTCTCAAACTCTGGCCTCAACTGACCCGCTCACATTGGCCTCCCAAAGTGCTGGCATTACAGGCATGAGCCACAATGCCCGGCTAAGATCACACATTTAATGGTACATGGCTGTATTCCAACATTACTCTTTCTAAGTATGTAGGTGCTACTGCTGTGGTCCTTCTCGTTTTATGATTCATATTCTAAAAAGAAAAAAATTCATACTCTATAAAAATTTCTAAACCTATAGTTTAGGCCATATTTAGTCCTCTAAACAAAAGAAAACTAACATTCATTCATAACATGTCCTGCATCTGCTGTGTTCAAGATTTTCCTTAAACCCACATCCTCCAAGCACTTTCTTATTCTTTTTTGCATATTTTCACTAACTCAAGGATGCTTTTTCAAACTTTCTATACCATGTATACAAAATATTCAGTAAACAACAGCCAAAAGATAGAAGCAACGTATGTGTCCATCAATAAATGAACAGATACAAAAAATGTGGTATATCCATACAACGGAATTATTCAGCCCTAAAAGGGATGGAAATTCAGACCCTTGCTACAACATGGATGAACCCTTAAGACATTATGCTAAGTGAAATATGACAGTCACAAAAAGATAAATACTGTACGATTCCACTTGTATGAGGTATCCAGAATACTCAAATTGATAGAGAAAGTGGAAATGTACAATTCCACTTATATGAGGATCCAGAATAATCAAATTGATAGAAACAGAAAGTAGAAGGGTGGTTGCCAGGGGCTAGAGATGGGGAAAATGGGGAGCTGTTGTTTAATGAGTATGGATTCAGTTCTGCAAGAGAAGAGTTCTGGAGATTGCTGCATCGTAATGTAAATATACTTAACACTACTGTACTGTGCATTAAAAACAGATGTGATAAATTTTGTTCATGCATTTTACTAAAATTAATTTTTTTTTAGTTTAAAAAAGAAAAAAATAGGGGCCGGGTGCGGTGGCTCACGCCTGTAATCCCAGCACTTTGGGAGGCCAAGGCGGGCGGATCACGAGGTCAGGAGATCGAGACCATCCTGGCTAACACGGTGAAACCCCGTCTCTACTAAAAATACAAAAATTAGCCAGGCGTGGTGGGGGGCCCCTGTAGTCCCAGCTACTCGGGAGGCTGAGGCAGGAGAATGGCGTGAATTTGGGAGGCGGAGCTTGCAGTGAGCCGAGATCATGCAACTATACTCCAGCCTGGGCGGCACAGCAAGACTCCATCTCTAAAAACAAAAACAAAAAGAAAACAAACAGAAAGAAAGAAAAAAGAAAAAAAATAGTACTACTGGGAATTCTGGTGTTGGACAGAATACATTAACCTCTTTTATCTCTAAGCCTAGAGAGAGATTAAAAACAAGCACAGACTTGAGAGGAAACAACAAGAAACATTATGCTCCTTAACTTTAAATAAAAAGTTTTAGAAGATGGGTGTGGTGGCTCACGCCTGTTATCCCAACACTTTCAGAGGCCGAGATGGGAGGATTACTTGAGCCCAGGAGTTCGAGACCTCCCTGGGCAACACAGTGAGAGCCTGTCTCTCAAAAAAAAAAAAAAAATTTACCCATGTGTGTGGTAGCACATGCCTGGGGAAGGTGAGGTGGGAGGATGGCTTAAGCCCAGGAGGTCAAGGTTTCAGTGAGCTGTGATTGCGTCACTGCACTCCAGCCTTGGTAACAAAGTGAAACCTTATCTCTTTAAAAAAAAAAAAAAAGCGGGGCCAAGCCTGATGGCTCATGCCCGTAATCCCAGCAGTTTAGGAGGCCACGGCGGGAGGATCAGACTGAGCACCAATGTCGAAACCCCATCTCTATGAAAAATACATTAAAAAGTTAGCCGGGTATGGTGGTACCCACCTGTGGTCTCAGCTACTCAGGAGGCTGAGGTGGGAGGATCACCTCAGCCCAGGAGGCAGAGGTTGCAGTGAACCAAGACTGCACCACTGCACTCCAGCCTGACAGAGTGAGACCCTATCTCAAAAGAAAAAAAAAAGTTTTAGCATACACACCTTCAAATTTGAAACCAAATTAAATAAAAATGTTCTGGTGACAAGCCATAGACTATTCAGGAAGAGAAAACAAAAGGCACTGAGATTTTCAGGGAGACAGAGTTCCCTGAAATCTCAGAGTTCAAATAATTAATAAATATGTTATGTTGTGGCTGGCAGTAAATTCAGCAAATGAACTCCCACAAACCAACAAAGCCATCAAACGACCAGACTTAATTGGAACCAAAACTCAATAATCTGAAATGTCTTCCTTAAAAAGCAAAAAAGGAAAGAATATATAAAATGTGTGTCTGGCTGGTACAAAGAAAGAACCTGATTTCTTTTCTTAAGATTATAGAAAATTTTGCCTCAGTGTATTAAAAATTACCCAGTAGACAATAGCCCAGTATTAATTACTCATTAATAATTCAAAGGCCTCCCTTAGACTACCTACCTCCATTGAGTACCAGGGGCAGAATAACGAAGTGACATTTCAAAATCCTATGGCCAAAAGGATTGTTTACACATTCACACACCCACTCATTTGCTCCTCCATAACCCTGTGATGGGCAGCAGAGCTCACTGCTCCTGCCTCTTCTGACAGGTAATGGAACCGGCCAGGGGACAGCAATATATTGTCCCTACGATCACAGAGCCAGTGAGTCAGAGCGAGGGTGGAAACCCTGGATTTTTGAGAATGTGCCACACTGCGGATCTACAGCGAATGCCTTCTCCATCACCCATCCATCCACAGGGCTCTGTCAGCCTCATCACCGCGGCTGACGTCTCCATGCCCTGTGTGTTCCACTTTTAATTAACTCCAGAGCAACCCACCCACCCACTTCACCTGTGCTGTCCTGGTCTGCTCAGGCCCTCACCTTGCATTGACTAGATTTCCACAAAGGCTCCTTCCTCTGAGATGTCCCTCACGGTCTTACCCCCTTAATCCAATCACCAAAAGGTGATGCAACACGCCAAGCCCTAATGAATCATTTTGTAACAGGTCATCGAAGGGGGTGCGGTTAGGGACTTCAGCTCACAGAAGGACTTCACTAACTATTGGGTTTTTACTGTTTGTGTCCATGCACATGACAAATGGCACTTCTGAACCTGCTAAAACAGAGATGCAAAATAACATTGGCAATTATAGTCATAGTTCCCAATCGTTTATTTCAAGAAAGATAAATTATGGCCATGCACAGAGGCTCAGGCCTGTAATCCCAGAACTTTGGGAGGCCAAGGAAGGAGGATGGCTTGAGCCCAGGAGTTTGAGATCAGCCTGGGCAACATGGCAAAACCCCATCTCTAATAAAAATACGAAAATTAGCTGGGTGTGGTAGTGCATGCCTATACTCCCAGCTACTTGGGAGGCTGAGGTGGGAGGATCACCTGAGCCTGAGTAGGTTAAGGCTGTAGTGAGCCATGACCACTGCACTCCAGCCTGGGCAATACAGTGAGACCCCATCTCAAAAAAAATTATTTGAAATGTCAAGGGTTCGTTGGCAAAGATAATTACAGTCAAGGACATCTTATCCCACCCATCTTAAATGTACCACCTCACTCTTCACTTTGCATGGATGACATTGTCACTAAAGTATAGGCTGCATGTGTAAAAGGTTCACTGAGTAATAAGAAAAGTACAACATGTAATGTGAGTAAAAATGGCAGTTGGAGGTGGGGAAAGAGCTAGCTTGTTAAGTGTCCAGTGAAGCAAAGATAAAGTGTGGTAAGAAATCTTGGCTGGGTGCAGCAGCTCACACCTGTAATCCCAGCACTTTGGGAGGCCAAGACCAGCAGATTACTTGAAGTCAGGAGTTCGAGACCAGTCTGGCCAACATGGTGAAACCCCGTCTCTACTAAAAATACAACATTAGCCAGGCATGGTGGTGGGTGCCTGTAATCCCAGCTACTCGGGAGGCTGAGGCAGGAGAATTGCTTGAACCCGGGAGGCAGAGATTGCAGTGAGCCGAGATCATGCCACTGTACTCTAACCCTGGCAACAGAGTGAGACTCTATCTCAAAAAAAAAAAAGAAATCCTAAGGTCCATGAGACAACATTTGCCATGGGCTCATATCATTTGTCACTCTATGAAAAGGTACTGTTACCGCTCCACAAATGGCCATGATGATGTCATGCAGTTTAAGACCGTGGACACATGCAGCCCCCGAACACAAGGCGGGGCCAGGTACCGGTTTCCTCATGTTGGATTTCAAATTCCACAAGAATAAATAAGCTGGTCGGTTTAATGTCTTTTCAGAAATAGAAAGTACATTCTATTTTGAAGCACATAAAAACATTTTCTTGTCAGAAAAGTTCCCCATAACTCACCTCCAAAATACATTCCCTTGTCCATTTTAATAATTTGGAACAGCTGCAGCACAAATTGCTTAAAAATGTTGGGAGAAGCTCACTTCATTTCTTCAATCCAAAATCTACCAAGTCAAGGTTTTCAAAAGGCCTAAGGGTATAACACCTAGTATCAAATTTCACACCCCAAAAAATCAAGTATCATTTGACTTCAGCATGCATATGTATATCAAAACATCATGTTGTATATCTCAAATACAGCCAATAATTTTTTTTTTAATCAAGTATAACTGGCCGGGTGCAATGGGTCATGCCTATAATCCCAGCACTTTGGGAGGCTGAGGAGGGTGGATCATTTGAGGTCAGGAGTTCGAGACCAGCCTGGCCAAAATGGCAAAACTCCATCTCTACTACAATTAAAAAAAAAGAAAAAAAATTAGCCAGGCATGGTGGTGGGCACCTGTAACCCCAGCTACTGGGGAGGCTGAGGCAGGAGAATCACTTGAACTCCGGATGTAGAGGTTGCAGTGAGCCAGAGGTTGCAGTGAGCTGAGATCATGCCACTGCACTCCAGCCTGGGCCACAGAGTGAGACTCCACCTCTAAAAAATTAAAAAAGGCTGGGCTGTTTGCCATGTTGGCCAGGCTGGTCTCAAACTCCTGACCTCAAATGATCCACCCTCCTCAGCCTCCCAAAGTGCTAGGATTACAGGCGTGATCCCAGCACTTTGGGAGGCCGAGGCGGGTGGATCACGGGGTCAGGAAATCGAAACCATCCTGGCTAACACAGTGAAACCCTGCCTCTACCAAAAATACAAAAAAAATTAGCTGGGCGTGGTGACAGGAGCTGTAGTCCCAGCTACTCAGGTGGTTGAGGCAGGAGAATAGCGTGAACCCGGGAGGAGGATCTTGAAATGAGCCGAGACTGCGCCACTGCACTCCAGCCTGGGCAACAGAGCCAGACTCCATCTCAAAAAAAAATCAAGTAGAACTAAGAAAACTTACAGTGACTCAGTGGCCTCATACAGGGTGCTCATAGAGACCAAGGGACCCAGGTTGGATGTCACAATCCCAATGCAGAAATAACTCATCTAAACAGCATGGTTTGGTCAAGTCAGAAGACATCAATTCCACAGCCCTGAAGCGCCTCCCCTGGCACTGCTTCACTCCCCCTGGACTGTAAGATTCTGATCAGTAACAACAAGGGATCCTCTGTTACCCCACATGACCACTATGTGCTACATAAATCAGAGGTACGTATCATCGCTATTGTTAATGAAAATAAAACCACAGTGCTTTTCGTCATGTAGTCCTGAAAAGCTGGATGTAGAAGATACAATTTGAAATGCGCTGGGGAAATGGGTTATTTAAAGTCCATGCTATTGCAGCTAAAGGGAAGAATTGTTAAGAAGTGAGATCCATTATCCAGATTTATTTCGTACTCACCATCCCCCCTCCCCTTTCCTTCTCTCTCAAACACCTCGGCTAAATATGGCAGTGACTTACTTCCTAAATTTTTATCTTGAGTGCAACTTCAGCTTTAAGTTATAGATCCATATGTTCAGTGGTCCACTGGCTCAAACTCAACAGACATGGCTAATCTCCCCCAAACACCTGTTACTTCACACAGTTACAACTTGACAAATGGCACCACAGCCTACCCAAATGAGTAATCCAGTAATCCTACAGAAATTCAGCTTACTTGCCCCCTAAACCCAGTTAAACACTTAGCATCTACCTCTTGGTATCTCACACACTAACCCCTCCTGACTGGAAGCCCCTCCTTTCTCCTCCACCACCCTGTGGCCAAGTGACGCTTCCCCAAAACGCACGGTTGAAGTTGTCCCCGACAGCTTTCATGAGTCCATTCAAGCTCACTGAGTTGCACACAGCCGTTCCTTCCTCCATTGCTCTCGACCGCCCTGCCAGCCGGCAGGATGCAACCTTTGTTCTGGCATCTAGAATGTCCTGCGTTGGATATTAAATAACAACGCATCACCCTATTTCCTGTCTTTCCACATGATGATCTGCCGCCAGGACAGCCACCCTCCTTCTTGGCCAAATTCCTCTACATATGCTCAAAACTCAGGCCAACTATTAATAGTACCTCAGGGAGGAATCATTTTCTGACCCTCTCACCCCCTCCTCATTGTGACCCTCCTCCTTTGTGTTCCCATGTAAGTATTTTTACCACACCCATTGTCACCCGGAGCTATTGTTCATGGTTTGCCTGTGTCTGTCTTCACTAAGCAATTAGGTGCCTTTCATTTACTCAATCTTCAACAAGCCATTCCTGTAAGCCAGAGTCATTCTGCATCCTTGGAGTCTAACACAGAGCCTGATACCCAGGCAGGGCAGCATCAGCATCAATATGCTGAGGACACATGATTCCACCACCAATTCACCAAATAAAATTCATGTTTTAACTGTCTTCTAGTGCTTTATGCCCACTACCTTCTATATAACCAAATTGTTTGATGTTGTCCAATTAAACAATTAGAAACATTTCAGCCAGGCATAGTGACTCATGCCTGTAATCCCAGCACTTTTAGGAAGCCCAGGTGGGAGGATCGCTTGAGGCCAGAAATTTGAGACCAGCCTGAGCAACACAACAAGCCTCCATCTCTACAAAAAATTTTAAAAATACAAAAAATTAGCTGGGTGTGGTGGTGTGCACTCACAGTCCCAACTACTTGGGAAGCTGAGGTAGGACTGCTTGAGCCCAGGAGTTGGAGGCTGTGGTGAGCTGTGATCGCACCACTACACTCAAGCCTGGGCGAAAGAGTGAGGTCTAAATAATAATAAATAAAAATAAAAAATAAACACTTAGAAATGATTTTTTCAAAATCACGAAGCATTCAAGTTTGTTGAAAAGAAAACCATCACAAGACACAAGTTGTTAACTGAAGTCAAGGTCTTCAATGTAGAGGCTGGCATTTCCATTTCACTTGAGTGAATTTCTGAATAAAATTCTCTCCTGATTGAAAGGAATCTATCTTTTTTTTAATTATTATTTTTGAGACAGTCTCACTCTATTGCATAGGCTGGAATGCAGTGGCACAATCTCGGCTCACTGCAACCTCCTCCTCCCAGGTTCAAGTGAGTCTCCTGACTCAGCCTCCTGAGTGGCTGGGATTACGGGCACATGCCACCACGCCCGGCTAATTTTTGTATTTTTAGTAGAGATGGGGTTTCACCATGTTGGCCAGGCTGCTCTCAAACTCCTGACCTTGTGATCCACCTGCCTCGGCCTCCCAAAGTGCTGGGATTACAGGCATGAGCCACTGCGCCCGTGCAATCTTTTGACAGGAATCTAAACCCAAAGAGAGAGAAGGAAGAAAAAAAAATCCACAAAAAAACAAGTTCCAAATTGCCACTCTCATGTGCTGATGTGGAAGTGGCCACTCCAGAGCATAAATGTTTGGTAAAGTTTTAAAATACATATAGTCAGACAGATGGTTACAATCATCTTTTGGCTACGAGTCTTGATTTCATGTGAAAAAAAAAAAAAAAGCCAAAAAAAAAAAAAAACCCAGAAAGTCCCGACAAACTGCACTGTGTTCATCTGTCCCAAGAGCACTCAATGCCAAGACAGTGCTAATCAACCAACCACGCGGCCTTCAGGCCACGCTGCCTCCGTGACAGGCGCGCTATTACTTGACTCGAGCCTTGGAAAGGGATGGAAACAAGCCAACCAAGTCTACCTTGGAAAGACTCAACTCAAGAAAATGAAACACAGATTTCGGCCGGGCGTGGTGGCTCAAGCCTGTAATCCCAGCACTTTGGGAGGCTGAGACGGGCGGATCATGAGGTCAGGAGATCGAGACCATCCTGGCTAACACGGTGAAACCCTGTCTCTACTAAAAAATACAAAAAAACTAGCACGGGCGAGGTGGCGGGCGCCTGTAGTCCCAGCTACTCGGGAGGCTGAGGCAGGGGAACGGCGTAAATCCAGGAGGCGGAGCTTGCAGTGAGCTGAGATCTGGCCACTGCACTCCAGCCTGGGCGACAGAGCGAGACTCTGTCTCAAAAAAAAAAAAAAAAAAGAAACACAGATTTCAATTTGCAAGATTCGCAAACAGTCCACTCCACGGCAGGGTATGCCCAGCCTTCCCATGGCAAGCAGGCTGTGACTTCCCTGCAGGTGAACTCGGTTCAACCGGCTGCTAAAATCAATCAGTCAGTCACTGGCTGATGCCTGCTAACACATTTTGCCTGACAGATGCAGGCTTCAAGTTAATTCAGAAGCAACATCAAACACATTTGCAGATTCGGGCTGGAATGCCACCTAACCAAAGGAGGATATTTCTGAAACACCTAAAAATACATCAGCTGTGAAGCATAGTTCGTGCTTACAGAAGCATTTATCTTTAGAAAGAGCCCCACTTCTTAAAATTGGCTCCTTTGATTCTGATCTCTGTGCTGTTTGTTCGGCAAGACCAACAAACTAACCGAAAGGCCGGGTGGAACAGGGAAGAGCTTCCTCTGGAGCCAGCCTCAACACCATAATTGCAGGCGAGCGCTGAAGTTCCCTGCAGCTCTCCCCGTGATGTGGTTTTGAGCCATTCCTTAGAGACTGGGAGAGGAGTCTCCTCCGCGCAACTGACCCGGAGCTCCACAATCCCTATAATGAAGAAAATGTGCTTCTCTTCCATTCAGCAGGAAACAACATGCCACACCTCGGAACCTGGCAGCCCTTCCACTCTGGCCACTCAGCTGCCTTCCGTACAACAGAAACCTCTCCTGCTCTTGTCAACGTTGTGCTTAGATGCTGGGTACCTAACAATTGGAGATGATCCAGGGCCAGAGAGCACAAAAGACAGAAGACAGGCACCTAAAAAACACTTGTTCTCACTCTGCTCAGGAGCTTCCAGGACGGTAAGTGCCACGTTTTCACAGCCACAGCACTTGACAAGACTGGGAGACAATGACATGCAGCCTCTTCCTTCACCTCCCTCCCCACAGTCCCCATGACTTTTCTCCCATCTCTACCCTGGTCTAAAACCCTCAGCCCTCCCCCACTGAATTACTGCAACACGCTCTCAGCCCATCTGTCCTTTCTCGTCTCAGCCATATCACTTCCCTCTTAAATCTTCTGAAATGTTTCTTAGAGAAATTCTCCTTTCAGAAACCTTTAAACAGGCTGGGTGCAGTGGCTCTTGCCTATGAATCCCAGCACTTTGGGAGGTCAAGGTGGGAGGATGGCTTGCGGTCAAGAGTTCGACATCAGCCTGGACAACATAGCAAGATCCCAGTCTTCACAAAAATTTAAAAATTAGCTGGGCGTGGTGGTGCATGCCTGTAGTCCCAGCTGCTCTAGAGGCTGAGGTGAAAGGTTCGCATGAGCCTGGGAGGTCAAGGCCTCAAAGAACTAGGATCGCACCATTGCACTCCAGCCTGGGTGACAGAGTGGGATCCTGTCTCTAAAACAAAATGAAGGCCAGGTGCAGTGGCTCATGTCCATAATCCCAACACTTTGGGAGGCCAAGGCAGGCAGATCTCCTGAGGTCAGTTCGAGACCAGCCTGGCCAACATGGTGAAACCCTGTCTCTACTAAAAATACAAAAATTAGCCGTGTGTGATGGCGGATGCCTATAATCCCAGCTACTCAGGAGGCTGAGGCAGGAGAATTGCTTGAACCCGAGAGGCGGAGGTTGCAGTGAGCCGACATCGTGCCACCGCACTCCAGCCTGGGTGACAGAGTAAGACTCCGTCTCAAAAAAACAAAAAGAAAAGAAAGAAAAAAGGTAACTTTAACTAATATAGTGGGGTCTGTGTATCATCAACCCCAAACTTTCCAGGTGAGCTGTAAGTGGGAGAGGGATGTTCTGGCACCACTGATACCTTAGGCCAGATGACTCTGGAGCTGCCCCAGGCACTCCTGTATGCTTCTCAGCATCCCTGGCCTCTACTCGGTAGATGCCATTAGCATCCCTTGATCGTAGCTATGAGACCAAGAATGTCTTTTAGATATTATAAAATGTCCCCAGGGCAGAATCATCCTAGGTGGGGAACCAATGGTTTAAGGCTTCTAACCCCAGGCTGCCCATCCCACCTAATTTCTGCCCATTCCCCAGCAAACGTCTGATTCCATGAGCAAAGGCAGCCTTCTCCGCTGCAGTGAGGCCACATCAAACTCACTCTCATCTCCCATCTTCAAGTATGGTGTTCACTGGCCTTTCCTTCTCATCAATTCTTTTTTTTCTCTCTCTCTTTTGTTGAGACAGGGTCTTGCTCTGTTGCCCAGGCTGGAGTACAGTGACACCATCTCGGCTCACTGTTGCCTCAACCTCCCCGGCTCAGGCGATCCTCCCACCTCAGCTTCCTGAGTAGAAGGGACTACAGGGCATGCCACCACGGCTGGCTAATTTTTGCAATCTTTTGTAGAGATGGGACTTCGCCAAATTGCCCAGGCTTGTCTTGAACTCATGGGCTCAAGCGATCCTCCCACCTCAGCCTCCCAAAGGGCTGGGATTACAGGCGTGAGCCATCATGCCAGCCTTTCTACCCAACCCTGACTGATCTCATGCCTTTGTAGTATCACCACCACCACCACCTCCACAGGGCTTCCTGAGCCACGCATAGGTTATGTCTCTGTACCACAAGCACACACCCTACTCTTCCTCTCCTTAGCGGGTGTGTATTTGTCCTCGCCAGGTCTTAGCAGGTGGTGGCAGGAGATGAAGAAGTCTAGGCCCTCATCAGACCCTTTCTAAGGAAGGGGGCAATCAGGAGAGAGTCAACCCCCTTCCCTCCAGGCGGCAAACCCATAGCCAAGAGGTTCAGGGTAGAAACCTGGGGCCCCTGGCTGGGAACTGGGAGCTGAGCAGGGCTCTAGTCTCGAAGTGGCCAAAGGAAGGATAAGGTTGGCGAGGGGAAGTCTCAGCCAGAGGAAGGATAAGGTTGGCGAGGGGAAGTCTCAGCCAGAGGAAGGATTAAGTAGCGAGGGGAAGTCTCAGCCAGAGGAA